AACGACATTTTTGATGGTCGCACAAATTAAAATCATCTCAGGCGCAGTTTTTTAACGTTTCAATAGCTTCTGCTTTTGCTTTACTTTGGAATGTCTCTTACGTAGATGTTTGCACATATATGTGTGTGTGCTTGCTCTTCAATTTACGTTTGTTTCTATTTCTACTGAAATTTATGCGTTTCGCATTTTGCTCGCTTGTTTTATTTATTTTTTTCTTGTTTTTGCTTTTAATATTTAATTTTTACAACCGGTCACCCAAATAGCTTGGCCTTAACTCTGCTATTGACGGCAAACGACGACACGGTCAGTGTTCAATAGACTGCCAAGCAGCGGTATTTTTTTCTAATATGATTCGTAGGTACTTCTGACGTCGGCTTTTTTCATTTTTTATATTTTAACTTAATTTTAATTTTTAATTTCTTTTCATTAATTTTTTATATTTCGTTTTATTTATTAGCGCTTTTTCATAATATTTTTGTTATTATTGTTTTTTAATGTTGCCTTAAGCTGTGCTTTACTTGATTTACTCTGCTTTACGCACCTTTATTATTTTATTCACACTTATTATGCACAGGTGTCGTCCGTCTTTGTGCGCGCTTAATCGATTCGTTCTTGCATTCGCTGTGGCATTGAATTAATTTTAATGCATTTTGGTCGGCATTCCATTGAATTCTAAATCGCATGTACTTAGCAGTCCGAGCATCAAGTCACACTTTATGTTCATTTATACTCGTTTAAATGCAGCTGAGGGCGCGAGTCAGTAGTGCTAAAGCAATATAGGCACGTCATAAATTTATGGGTTCTTATGATGGGTTTTATTTCACATCGATCTGTAGTTACTTTCAGTGTATTATTAATGAAATTTATAAACTTTAAATATTTACATATAGTATTTAGAGCCCATTGAGCGAAGCGATGTCGCTTGGGAAGGCCGAGCGGCTTCAGTTCTTGCAGAACTGTATTTTTTACGCTTTTAATTTAAGATCTCGAAATAATGATTTAATTTTAAATGCGATATTTTAAGATTGAATTATCTCTGATATATAAAATCTTTGGTTCCATAAAAAATTAAGTTAAGATCGGTTGCTATCATCATACATTTCAATAAAAGTAATAACTTCAGGTTTCTAATATACTTGATCGTATTTTATTTTTCATAATAAAAAGAGGCTGCACAGCCTTTTCTAGACTGAATTATGTCTAACCAAAACTTCGAGCTGATAGTAGTTACAAATTTTGCGCAGATTAATACAACCAGCTAGGTTATAAATATCCGATCGTTGTGAAATTAGGCTGTATAGTCCTTCAGTCAAACCCTCAATATTTCGTCCTTGTTAAATTATTGGTTTTTATTTCGATAAATATTGGGTCGGGATAGATACCCAAGTTCTTTGGAAACTATTCGAATACCATTCAACAGCTTGAAGTTAAAAAAGTGAATTAAAGTAAACTATGTGATTGATATTTGTGAAAGAATAATTAAATATGTGTAAGCTTTTCTAGTTTTTGTGTACTTAACCTTGCCAAAAAATCTGTTATAAAATTTACTGTCTGTTATTGTAATATACGACAACCGGCTCTATCCTTTTTGCAGATAAAAAAAATTTACTGTCGAAGAAGTTCTCAATAAGAAAAGCGACAAAATGTACTCAAAACAACAAAAAAAATTTCCAAGAAAAGTTTTAGATTTTCCAACAAGATCTTCTTCAGCACATCAAGCAAAAACTACCCAAGTAGTGGTTTGACAGCCGTATTTCAGGTTTCAGGCAGATAATTGGCCATCTGAAAATCCACTTTTGAACCCATTGGAGTATACTTTGTGGTCAGAGTTTCAGAACAATACCCCACAGAAATTTAAAAAGTCCCCAAAAATATTTGGTTCAATATTCTTCGTCAAAATCAAGAGAAACTATGGTCGCTGCTAAAGGATAATAGACCTAAGGTTGCGGTGCAATCCTAATATATTAATCTTATGGTTGCTGCGTTTGAGGGCTTGTGCGAAAGACGAATATAAAACCTATTAAAGCATTGGACATATTTGCACCTTCACAAAAACAGCAATACTTTTTTAACAATTTATGTTAAATAGAATGGAATTTTGATTATTTGCATTAATTTCAGAATTATTATGCAAAGTGTAGCAAAAAGTTAATTAATTCAAAAAAAACTCCTCACATAAAAAAGTTTAAATGTGTTTTATTAACTATTTCCCATCAATCTTTCTAATCGTTACTACAAGCATAAGCTACTTTGTATTTTAATATGTACTAACGCCCTTCCATGCTTAGGCACTTTATTTGAGGCTAAAAAACTATATGTTTACATAACACTAGCGTACAAAATTCATCAAATTTATTAACATACAAGCCATCGTAAAAAACTCCAACAATGTTGCTTCCAAGGGCAAGGTTCTTGTTATATAACCAACAAACAACAGCCAGCCTGTCAAAGTAATAACGAAGCAACCCACTTGCATTAAGAACATACTATTATACATGCCTACAACATTGTACACATACATGCAAATGAGGCTGTTAGGCAAACAGCTGATGGTTAAAACAGCAAAACATGAAAACAATTACGATAACAAAGTGACGACGTTAGCATTCAAATATGTATGCTTCCGCTATGAAAATAATTTTAAAATAAATAGTAATAGTAATTTTTTTATTTTATTTATTT